GACCTGGTTTTCGCCACTGCTGACAGGGTTGATTTGGCTGACGTGAAGCTTGAACAGCAGAAGAGACACAGTTGCACTGACCTTGGTGAGCTGCGCCACTACCTTGGCCTGCAGATCACCAAGGGCAGAGCTGCTCGCACCATTACACTCTTACAGTCACACATGGTGCAGCAGGTCCTTCAGCGTTTCGAGCTTCAGCACTCTAATGTACAACGCACACCTCTTGCCGTTGACCACAGACTCACCGGACCCTTTCCTAACGAGCCGTTCGAGCCTAGTGGTCCTTACGCAGAGCTTGTGGGCTGCCTCATGTACCTGATGACTTGTACTTGCCCGGACCTTGCCTTCCCTCTCAGCATCCTTGCTCGCTTTGTTGCGCCAGGGAGACACCGTCCAGTTCATTGGAGAGCTGCTGTGAGGGTGGCGAAGTACCTAGCGACGACATCAGGCGTGGGGCTGGTTCTTGGAGGGAGATAGGACGTTGTGCTTACTGGTCACTGTGACTCTTCTTACGCTGACGACGTCGAGGCAGACATGTCTACTCAGGGGTGTTGTTTCAGCCTAGGCTCTGGAGCTGTTTCATGGAGGTCCACACGTTCCTCCTCGGTCTCGACCTCTACTGCTGAGGCCGAGATCTACGCTGGAGCTATGGCTGCACAGGAGCTGCGCTGGATGACGTTCTTGCACACTGACCTTAGTGAGCGGCCGAGCTCTGCGCCGACCTTGTTCACTGATAACAAGGCGACGATTCTCCTCTGTCAAGAGCCGCGATTGGAAAGCAAGGTGAAGCACATTAACGTCAGGTAATTTCTTCTGCGAGAGTTGCAGAGGCGTGGACAGGCTCATTTTGACTTTGTTGAGTCCGAGGCCAACACTGCATACATCTTCACCAAGGCCCTGCCGCCTTGTGACCACCAGAGGAGTTGTGTGCAGTTAGGTCTCGTTGACACAGGTTCTCGCCTTGCATAGTCTTGAGTTCTCTCCTTGCTTTGTTTATACACTTTACATATGCCTCTGTGAACTCTTGAACTAGCCTTGTGGCTCTTTTGCTTGTGCTCGGAGTGTGTGGTGACATTGTGATCCACCCTGAGCTTTGTTTCTTTGTGACTGGTCTTGTGACCGTACACTTTTGGTTTTGCTTGACACCCCTCACTTAGACTATGGGGGTGTGTCAAATGTTGTAGTCTTAGTGATGTGTGTTATAGGGGGTACAATTGTTAGGGTTAGGTTTATGTACCCCAACCAACCTTGGTCAAACCAACACTTTCATTCTTGACACATAGGTACAATATATAGCAAGCACAGGCGGCTAAGGGAGGTACACCACCAATAGGAACATTTCTACAGTGATACTACACTACCTATATTGTATGCAGTTACATAAAGAATACAATTCTTGACTTCCCCCCTTAATTGCATAGCGTAATCCCCCGGATAAAAGACCCTAGGGTCTTATGAAAATTTCAAGAAAAAAATCAGGGGGGTCTATCCATAGTGTACTAATTTTATAAGACCCGGGTGTTAACATAAGTACTTAGTTTTAAATGATTAAAAATGAAACACCTGCATGTTGTACATGTTTGCCCCGTTTGTAAAATAGACCCATCCCACGATAATGTGCTCTTTGAGGCTTGGGGGCCACTTCACTGATGAATCTGATTGGGCCTTACTGATTGGCCCAGCGTCGCTGGTTGCCACGACGTCTGATACTACCGCAATTGATGTGGCCACGGCCAGGCGCGCCGAGCGTTACCTCCTCGGCAACACCACCCCATGCATGTGTCAGAGGTCCACTTGTGATCCCCAATTGATCCTAGGGAAGGGTTACATGCTCGTTGTCCTTGGGGATTATGGGCGCACTGACCCGCTACTGAACAAGCCCTTTTATCCCAATGGTCTAGTGGTTGGGATTTTGACACGGTTGTCAAAATACTGAACAAGAATGAATGCACTGAACAGAAAGTTGGGTACAAGTACTAACCCTAATTGGGTTGTACCCCTTATGGGCTACCCCACTACAGCCTACACAAATATAAGCACTATAACATTTTTGACACACCCCAATAGGCAAACTGGGGGAGAACAACTGGTCACAAGACCAGTCAAGAAAAGCAAAGTAAGCTCAGGGTGGATCACGAAGTCACCACACATTCTTAGCACAAGCAAATGGCATTGAGGGGTGACCAACTCGGTGGTGCCACAGGAGAGTCTGGTGTGACAGGAGGCGACATGAGCAGGGGGCTGCTACAGGACTTGACGCGGACACCTGAGCAGACGTAGCTACCTGAGGAGGCTCAATAGTCAGTGTGTATGGACTCGACCAAGGTCGACGGGTGAACGTGGCCAGGTGACGGCCCGTCCGTGTACACGTGCAGATCGACACACGCTGACCCCCAGGAGTGGTGGTAGTGACCATCGCATCCTGGAGGGCAGCGGTACTCACCAAGTTCGTAGAGAACGAAGGGAGGTCGAGACCTGACAGTGAGCCGGACGGAACCGCCCGACACGGGAGAACAGTGGAGGAACGGTCAAGAACTGGGCCCCCTGAGGGGTCAGCCGGTCTGACCGGAACAGGTGCAAGGAGTGGAGTGAGGGTGGTACTGTCGCGAAAGAAACAGCGGGAAGCACATGAGTCAAGCGTAAAGATGTGCAAGGCCTCAGCAGGCGCAGTACCAGGGAGAGCAGACTCACTAGCACCTAGAGCAGCAGCCTCTATACCTGGGTCGGGCGGCACACACAGGTAACAGTCACCCTCAGCACTAACAGACAAGGCATACATGGCAGCAAGGATAGCATCATAGTCAAGAGCAAAGATATCAACTCCAGACCTAAGCAGCTCTGACCAGCAGGGGCGCTCAGCCTCGTCACCAGACTCTGCGCGCCAAGCGTCGTCTAGGCGGGAGAAGCAGCGGTGCTGAGAGGGAGACTTCCCGCATGTCTGACCAGCACGGTCACCCGTGCGAATGACATATGGGCAGCGAATACTACCCCCAGACGCCCCACTCTGAGCAAACCACTCACGAAGCTGCTGGGGCGTAGGGGTCTTGCTCTGATGCTGCTGCTGCCGCCTCTGGCCACCGCCAGAACCTCCCCTCTGAACAGCTCCACCCCGACTGCCACCACTGCCGCCGCCACCACTCCCACTACCGCCACCACCGCCACGCCCACCGCTGCCACCACCGCCGCCACCGAAGCCCCCACTCCCGCCACCACTCCCACCGCTGCCACCACCTCCGCCACCTCCACCGCCTCCACTACCTCCACCACCACCACCCCCACTGCCACCGCCACCACCCTTGCCAACCCTTGCCCTTGCTGTTGCGGTGCTTCCCACTAAGAGCAGAAGCAGCCGCGACATCCGAAGCACCAAGGATGTCAAGAGCAGCAGCAGAAGCGTAGGAGGGGGCAAGGGGGGAGGGGGAACACCCCTCAAAGAAGGGTGTGCAAGGAGTGCCACGAGCAGCACCTACAGCGACTACGCTAGTCTCAGCTGCAAGGAGGTGCTTCTCGAGCAGATCGACAGTGAGGTCTGTGGGGTCAAGTGCGAGAAAGTGGTCCCTGACTGCGCGAAGAGATTCAGGGAGGCGGGTGACTATGAAGTAGAGAGTGATGTACATCGGGGGCGGGTTCCTGTCAAGGAACTCGGCTGGGAGGGCAGCGCAGTAGCGAGCGTCGCTAGTGCGAAGGTGGGTAACGAGGTCCTCGATTGTGGCAAAGGCTGACAGCTCAGGAAACAGGTAGGGCAGTATAAGGCGGCCGAGAGCAGCAGTGGCAGGGGAAGAGTAACGAGCGACTACTGCATCGTACAAGGCTTTGGCAGTCTTGTGCTGGCCAAAGTGAGCGCATTCGGCTAACGGAAGGTGGTTGCGAACGGCTAAGCAAGCAGCAGCGTCACGAGTAAGCCACTGTGAGTGAGTCGCACTGTCAGCTGTGGCGGGAGGGGCGAGAGAGGCTCCAGTCGTGTGGTGAAACAACGAAACGCTGTCTCTAGAATCGCTAAGTAGATACAGCTGTAAGTCGTCGAGCCACGTATCGAACTGGATCAGACGGCCCTCATGATCGAAGGTTAGTACACTGAGAGAAGCCATAGCGCGCAGAGCAGGGTGGCACGCGGCTAGCAGGGCGGCCCGCAGGCAGGACGGCGCGCGAGCAATAGGGCGTCGCATAGCAGGGCGGGCAGGAGCAGGGCGGCGCGGGCAGGATTGCACCAGCCAGCAGGGCTGCGCGCAGCAAGGCGGGCAGTAGCCGGGCGGTGCAAGTAGCAAGGCGGAGCGCAGCAGGGCTGTGCGGGCAGCAGGGCGCCGGCCAGTAGGGCTGCGTGCAGTAGGGCGGCGCGCGGGTGCAAAGGGCTGCGAGCGGGCCGCAAGGGGCGGCGAGCGGGCCGCAAGGGGCGGCGAGCGGGCCGCAAAGGGCGGCGAGCGGGCCGCAAAGGGCGGCGCGGCGGGCTGCAAAAGGGCGACGTGCGGGCTGCAAAGGGCGGCGCAACGGCCAGCAGGGCGGCGCGCGGGTAAGGCAGGGCGGGCAGCAGCAGGGCGGCGCGGCGGGCTGCTAATGGCGGCGCGGCGGCCAGCAGGGTGGCGCGACAGGCAGGGCAGGGCGGGGCAGGGTAGTGCGTCTAGTGGGGCAGCACTCTGTGGTGGGCCCTAAAAAAATCGCTCCTAGAACAGGACCTGCTCTGAAACCATGTCAGAATACTGAACGAGAATGAATGCATTGAACAGAAAGTTGAGTACAAGTACTAACCCTAGTTAGGTTGTACCCCTTATGGGCTACCCCACTACAGCCTACACAAATGTAAGCACTATAACATTTTTGACAATGGTATCAGAGCGAAGGTCTCGGGTTCGAATCCCAGTGTGTGCACTTCGGGCATCTCAGTGCGAGGGGGTGTCAGAGGTCCACTGGTGATCCCCGATTGATCCTAGGGAAGGGTTACAGGCTCGTTGTCCTGGGGGGTTATGGGCGCACTGACCCGCTACTGAACAAGCCCTTTTATCCCAATGGTCTATTGGTTGAGATTCTGACAGCACGCTGCGTGGGGTGGTGGCACGTCGCCAGAAAGAGCACGGTTTGCTCCTTTGCACATCCAGAGTCACGCATAGGAGCTCAACCCCAACCCCTTCTACCCCGACCCCGCTGTCGCCCCCGATGATTCGTACGTGGAGGCGGAGGAGGAGGCAGTGCTGGTGGGTGATGTTGATGCAGCGGATTATGAGGCTGCTGTTGCTGATGCCTCCACAGGCGACGAGGATGATGACGAGGGGCATGTGGGGGACGAGGATGAGTGGAGCGACGAGGGTGATGATTGGTGGGCCCCAGGTCGCTATGAGGGGGAGGAGTTGGAGGAGTGGGTGGCGGGGGAGGAAGATGGCTAGATGACGGGATGTGGAGGTAGTGGGTGGTGTAGGTACATGGCTACAGGGGAAAAGGGGGGTCTTGTATAGATTTCACCCAAAATGGGGGGCATAAGTCAAACATACCGTGATAAAATACCCCACCCCGTATTAAATACCCGGGGGTCTTTAACTGCGGGGGGTCTTTTATCCGCGTGATTACGGTACAAGCATAGCCAGTGAGGGGCGCTCTACCCTAAATGCAGTCATCACCGTGCCGCAACTTGAACCACCGTGGTTGAACCCCCACGGCAGGTGCCCGGTTACGGTTGAACCCCCGCAACAGGTGCCGGTGTGCGCGACTCTGGGCGACTATTGGAATAACCTAAAGGTTACTGTAACATTCACGAAGGCTCTCCACTCGCGCGTCACTCCATAACGAAGCTACGCGCCTGTATCATTAACGCAATAGCTCATATAGAGCATGCGGAAGGTCGAGGGTCACCCGAAGGTCAACAGTAGAAAACAGTCAATGGTCGTGACCCTTGACTGCCCAGTAACTGCACTTGGAAGTTACGCGATGCAACACGGTAACTGTCAAGAATAGCAATAGTCGTGGTTACTTTAGCAATGCAATTCAGTTAGTAAGGGAATGTACCCCTCAGAGTACATGGCTAGCTAGGATTGCTATTTATATCTTTGTACCACTATCCTTTAATATTCTTGTTCTCTTTCAACTTATTAACATGGTCATTACAAAGACTTCATTGTCTTCTCTCACACTTAACAGACTTATCCTATCCACTACGATCCTTCACTTATAACAACATGGTATCAGAGCTAGAGTGGACTATAAGGCCTGTTAAGCTCTTGATTCTTTCTAGAACAACTTTATAAATTACTCATTAAACTATTACAAACTCTGCATCTCTATGGCTCCCGAAGGAAAAGCCACTGCAGATTCTCCGGGCTCACCACCAGCAACACCTATTGCACCATCAACGGTGACCTCCATCAGCACCGCTCTCGTTGAGCAGCTGGTCGCTCGCATCAACGCTCTTGAGAGCCATCAAGCTATGAGCATCGATGGCTCAAGCTACGCACGTGGAGTTGCTGGACTCCCTTTCCCTGGAGAAGACCGCCGCGTCAACTCCGAGAGGTCATTTACCTATGACAGCCGTCAAGCTTCAGCTCCTGCGCAAGACAGTCAACATCGCACACAGTCAATAACAATTGCGACAATGCAAACAAAGTTCGTTCTGACTTCAAAGCTGAAGACATCATTTCCCTTCGACGGCAAGGACTTCTACACGTGGAGCTTCGAGTTCGAGCTCCTCGCGACAACTGCGCAAATCTGGATGTACTATGATGGAAGCTTACCGTTTCCAATAGAAGGCACCATCCAAGAGAAGAACCAGTGCTACCATGAGTCCTTTCTCGCGTACACCATTCTTCTCCGAAACCTCTCCCCCTCTGAGCAGCGTGGCATTCGCTCCTACAAGTCAATGTGGGCACCCGCGTACGCTTCTTGGGAGCACCTGCGCAACTCATACATGGCAACAGATCTCGTTACAATGAGTCGCCTACTCAGCCAACTTACATCGGTTAAAATGCAACAAGGGGAGAAAGCGGGACCGTATATCAATCGGTGTCGCAATCTGCATGACCACATTAAGAAGTGCGGCAGAACCGTTCCCGACGACATGTTCGTCTCCATGGTTCTTTCCGGCCTTGGACCTGATTGGCGACAGTGCCAATCATTGCTCCGCGCTCGAGCAACCATCTCCGAGTCCGCTCTGTGCGCATGGCTTCTCTCCGAGCAGAAGGAGATTGACCTGTATAATGAGAAGAACAACAAACAAGAGAAATTAGTGTTCTTTACTGGAGCGATTGAAGGGGACCAGCATGGAAAGAAGGGGACATTCTGCAAATACTACAAGAAGCCCGGGCACACTATCGATCAGTGCTACAAGCGTAAGGCCGCAGACGAAAGGCGTACCAACTCCTCCAGCGTGCAGCCTTCGGCACCCTCTGCTTCCCTTGCTGCAACGACGACTGTCTCGCCACCCTCCGTCGCAAGCACTTCGCAAAATCCTGCACGCATCACGGTCAAGGACAAGGGAAAGGGGTCAATCATGAGCTGCATGGCGAGACGACGCAAAGGTTTCCGATACTATGACAACATCGAATACCCGCCAATCGCGCCCATCAACCCCATCAGACCCAGTCCGAACAACGATCCTACTATTCACAGCTGGATCGACCGCCCAATAAACATCCCACCCGATTTTGAGTTGCCTCCACCGACCCCAGAGTCTCCTCCCAGCATTTCCGCGAGGCGATATATCGAATTTTCGCCGTACACCGGAGACTTCGACCGCGTCGTAACTCCGAAGATCGCCGAGATCGCACCACGAAATCGTGAAAACTACAATACCTAGTACCTCGATAGCTGCTGCGGACAACACATGGTGGGGTCACCAAGGTTTATTAGCAACTCAGAGCACATGCGACGACCATGCGAAATCACTGTCGCCAACAATGGACGCCTCAAGGCTTACGACATTGGAGAAATCTGCCTTGAAGCCGAAGACACTCGCTTCACCATTCACATCGGCGACGTGCTGGTGGTTCCTGATCTTCAGTACAACCTACTTTCTTCGGCACAGCTCATGCGGTGCGGAGTCGACATTCGCAGCAACTGCCAAGACAAGACCTTTGAACTGTATTATAAAAGCACTTACATCGGCAAGGCTGACGATGATGACGGGGTCTTCGTCTTAAACTTCTTGGCTCAAGGCACCACTGGTGATTCTGAACGAACGCTTCTTCTGAAGACAACTCCCACAGAGCCGTTGGCTTGGTCACACCCCGACGAGATGGATCTTGAACGACCCGCTTCGGATGGTCTTCTACAACTGCGCGCCGTCCCAACCACCTCAACCTCCAATCCAAGCGATACTGGACCTGCAACAATGGAAGAGGAAGCAGACAACAAAGAACGCACAACAACCCCAGCGATTGGAACTGGTTGGGGAGATCCCGGTCCCGCACTCGGCCCATGGGGAGAAATCCTGACACCCGAAGAAGCGGCCACGATCGGCGGCGGCTGGGGAGACATCGGCGCTACTGGCGGAGCTGGCTGGGGACAGCCAACTCCCGCCTACCTTAATGCTCCAAGACTCCCTCCTGCGGATGTTGCGGCTATTGATCCTTACTTGGCAGCCCGCGGTACCAGCTGGGGCAAACCTCCTCTTCCGGACCAATACGCTCCTGACACACCAGAACATGTGCAAGAATTAGAAGAAGAAGCCAATGGGAACCCGTCTACGACAGGGGAGCAGCAGACAGGGGAGCCGGTCAAACAGGAGGCATCAGCAGGGGTGCATTCGACAGGGGAGCTGTCGAAGTCAGCAGCAGGTGAGTAGCTGGTCGAAGGTTCGAAGCAGCTAGTCGACGACTTGGACGTCGACGAAGAAAGGGAGCTGTCGGCAGGAGAAGAGTCCACCGACAGCGACGTGGTAGAGGTGCCGATCACGAAGCCTGAGCTGCGACGCACAGGTCGAGCCCGACGGACACCGGAGCGGCTGAGCTTCCACGCCTGCCCACCGTCAGCTGCCTTCACTACTGTGTACGACGAGGTCGGCGATGACCTGTTGTACGACGACGCCGAAGAGGATGACGAACTGCCGGAGCTCGACCCCGACATGCACGCAGACCCCGAACACCGTTGGGACATCGCCACGATGACGGTAAAGGAGGCACTGACTAGCTGGAAGGGCGAGGCGGTGAAGGCCGCCATGGAGGAAGAGATCCGCAGCCTCCTCGGCATGGGCACTTGGGAGCTGGTCAAACGCCCACGCGGGGTGAACATCATGAAGAACCGGTGGGTGCTGACGACCAAGTACCGTCTTGACGACACCGTCGAGCGCGAGAAGGCGAGGCTGGTCGTGAAGGGCTTCACGCAGGTGTGCGGTGCCGACTACGACGAGACATACTCGCCGGTTAGCAGCTACGTCACGCTGAGGATCTTCCTCAGCATCGTCGCCGTCCTCGACCTGAACTTGATGCAGCTCGACATGAAGAACGCCTTCTTGCAGAGCAAGCTCGACAGGGTGCTCTACATGCACCAGCCGGACTACTTCGACGATGGAACCGGCCGGGTGTGTAAGCTGCTGAAGAGCCTCTACGGGCTGAAGCAGTCGCCGCTGCTGTGGTACAGGGCACTCGATGGAGTACTGCTGGGAGCTGGCTGGAAGAAGAGCCAGGTCGACGAGGCGCTCTACTTCAAGGCCGGCAACGACGGAGTGACCTGCTGGGTGTTGGTCTACGTCGACGACCTGCTCGCCGCCAGCAGCAGCCCCGCGATGCTGAAGGAGCTAAAGAAGCTGCTGGAGGCTGCCTTCGAGCTGCGCGAGATTTCTCCGGTCGTTAAGTACCTCGGGCTGGAGATCGTGCGCGACAGGCCAGCGAGGAAGCTATGGCTTCACCAGCAGGGCTACGCCGACAAGCTGCGCAGGCGCTTCATCGACGAGGAGCAGGGCGGTCGACTCCCGAAGACGCCGGTCTCGGTCGATGCCTACGCCGAGCTGACATTCGACGACGAGGAGGCGCAGGGGCGCGAAGAGGAGGAGTACCGGCAGAAGGTTGGCTCGCTGCAGTTCGCGGCGACGACAACGAGGCCAGACATCGCATTCGCCTGCAGCAAGCTGGGGAGCGGCCTTACGGTGAGGAGCGACCAGCATTGGCGCGAGGTCGACCGCTGCCTCGCTTATCTCGCTGACACCCGCGACACCGCCCTGGAGTTTGGCGGTGGACCAGAGTCGCTGGAGCTGGTCGGCTACGTGGATGCCGACGACGCGGGCGACAAGCAGGACCGTACGAGCACGGGAGGCTATGTGTTCGTCTACGGAGGGGCCGCCGTCTCCTGGTCGAGCTCGCGCATCAAGTGCGCAACATTGTCGTCGACCGAGTCAGAGTACGTGGCGGCCACGAATGCAGGCAAGAAGGGACGCCGACTTCGTTTCCTTCTTGCGGAATTC